TGTGTGTGTGTGTGTGTGTGTGTGTGTGTGTGTGTGTGTGTGTGTGTGTGTGTGTGTGTGAGGAGTGAATAGTTTATTTATGAACCAAAAGAAATACATACGAATGCTTAATTTGTGTATCTTTTAGTCTAATATAGATTTTTTTGTTGTTGAAGTGTTAATGCAGAAAAGTGCACGAAAGTATGTATTATTCACATATAGATGCTGAGGCTTGACACTTCTCTCGATTAATTCGAGCCATTCTTTTCTTCTTTTGTCTTTTGATACGCGATATAATCAATACCCTTTTGCGTGACTATTTTTGCAGTGACGAACACAGGCATTGTAAGTACTGACTATCAGTGATGATACTCTTGATTGAGATTCTAACCGCCTCTCCGAATATCAGTTTTCAAGTTTCGAACAAGCAAGCATAAGCGAACGAGAGAGCTAATTGTAAAATGCGCAAACAGTATGTACATATACGTAAGTGCAAAACATCGTGTGAATAGTATATAGTGCGGTTCCGCTATTTTGACGCAATTAAACTCGAAAGCCCATTGCGGTACTTTATCTATCTAGTGACTACTTGAGAAGTTGTCATCTATTTTTCACATATGGCAGTGGCACAGCCACGAGCAAGTAATTCAAGAATAGACATATTTAGAAGTAGTATAATAAATATATTTGGAAATATGTAAGTATATTTTAAATAATACTGCGCGTATTTTGAATTTTTATGTTAATAGTTTTGAATCTCCGTATTTACATTATTTGGAATAAAATGGCTCCTATACGATGAGTATTATTAGGTGCGCAACTAAGTTCCCACTGTTTGTCAATAGATGGTTCCAGCAGTAAGTGCTGGTCGATTCTGACATAATCTAAACGTCATGAACCAAGCTTAGACATATGGTAAACAAACCGCTTCGACACATTAGTGATTTTGTTTTGACGTTATATTCTTTTGGTTGTGTGAAAATGTCTGATTTTGTGCCAAATAATCGTCATATGCGGGAAGTATTGATTTTCTTCTTTCATTCGAAGAAAACGGCGGCTGAAGCGCATCGAGAGCTCCAAAAAGTTTACGGAGATGCTGCTCTAAGTGAAACAACGTGCCGAGATTGGTTCCGTCGCTTCAAAGACGGTGATTTCGATGTTGACGACCGTCCGCGTGAAGGAAGGCCAAAAACCTTCGAAGACGCTGAATTGGAGGCATTGCTCGATGAGGATCCGTGCCAAACGCAAGAAGAGCTTGTTTCAGTATTAGGAGTTACCCGCCAAGCCATTTCCAAGCGATTGCATGCGTTGGGAATAATTCAGAAGCAAGGAACTTGGGTTCCTTATGAGTTGA